CCCATTTTCAAAGTTCAAACGGATATGGAGTATATTATATGGTAAAACGTTATCAGATAAGACCTTTGTATCTATTATTAAAGTAGTGATGTCCTATTTGCCCGGATAATGATTGTTATTTTATTGCTTTTTAATGGAAGACGGGTAAATTGGTTAAAAATACACAGGATGTAATTTTTGAAAACTGAATCACATAGAGTGTTCTATAAAACATTAAATTTTCTAGCCTAACCCAATTTATACCCATCTTTGTTTAGTTAACCTACAAACAGTGAATTGCCAAAACTATATATTAGAACATTAGAAATTATGCGTTGTAAATTGCTTATGACCGAGAAAAACAGGTGGAACAATTTTATAAACCTTACTCCACTGTAATTATAAATTCTCCTAAAAGTTCATTGCCTCAAATATTGAACGCAACTTTTAATTACATGTTCCAAACTTTTGGTAGAGATCTTACGTCTCATACAATCTTAAGTCGAACACTACTATTTGTTGCGAAAGTCGTTAAGTATTTACGCCGGTGTGTTATACTCCATTACGAGAACATATTATCGTGCTAGGGGCCACGAACTTGAGAACTTTGAAGCCTCGTCGGGGCTCAAAGGGGATGTAAAATTATGCGTTCTCGCTGTCGTCAATCTCACTTACATATTCGTTGACCCGTTTATTCTATTACGAAACAATGTTAATAGCATTACGCAAGTCAATAGCAAATTATAATCTAACCGGAAATATTATACAGGGTGTCTCAAATGTTAGAGCCGAAGAAAGGTGATTCTGTGAGTGTTTCTGAACAATAATTTTCTTTGCCAAAATGCAAAGTGAGGCATGGTTTTTAAATTATTAACGAAAAACACTGACCAATAAGAGCGCGTGTAAGGCCAGCGCTGAGCCGCGGCTAGACGCGACCCTACGCATGCTCTCATTGGTCAGTGTTTTTCGTTAATAATTCAAAAACCATGGCTCACTTCATATTTTACCAAAGTGTTGTTCAGGAACATCTCCAATATCACTCCCCTTCGACTCCAACACTTTTTCTGGGACACCCTGTATAAAAGCACACATCCTTCCGTTTATAATTAATCCGAAATTAGACACTGCGGATTTATGTGGAAAAGTAAAACTGCCAATGACATACGATGCCTTCAATCTTTCAATCATGATAACATTCATTCTGCTATTGATACTTCATGCTCTTTTGCCCTCTGTTATTACGCTTTTTACATAATTTTGTTATACATGCTTAAAATCCGCAATCTATAACCTTTTTTGATCCCTGATTTGAAATTCTCTAACGTGAACGGAAATAATTCAACAAATGATTCTCGACTATGTTCTATTTCCTTGCACCGATTAACGTGTTATAAATTCGCTTACTTTAACGATTGTATTCTAATGAATGCATGATTAAATCCCACAGTACGTGACGATTCATTACCCAACAAATGTCGTCAGACCTCACTTGGAACGTGTCGAATTCTTTATTATCTGAGTGAGTCGATACCAGCCTCATTACCATTCATTCGCCATTTGTAGTTGAGGAAGCAAATGGACTTAAAGTCTTTAAGCTACATATCTCCTCTTTATAGGAAAGTACTAATAACTCGGTAATTGATTCTCATTTATTAACATTAAATACCGTTTTTTATCCTTGCAATAGTGATAGTGGGATAAAAAACTGCAAATACTGATAAAAACAGGGTCAGTGCTGAGTAATTTTAACATGTTCTTCAATTAAATACTTGTTATTACGCAAAATTTATTTCTTACCTATGTTTTAAAAATGTATGCTTTTAACCTTGCGAGAGTGATATATGGAACAAAATTATTGATAATAATAAGTATTTATTTAATCGCTAGTTTATTTGAAGTCCACACAGGTATAACTCGTTAAAAACCATTAAAACCATTATTACTACTATAACCACTACTGCTACTGATAATATTTGAAATAGTACTGATGACTTTGAATACGTCCTTCATTTAAATATGAAATTACTATTAAGAGGCCTTACCAGTGTGACTAGTTGAGATCCGACTTTGAAATTCTAGTATGATATTGAAAAATGCAAAGACAAATACGATTTTTTTTTAAATTTCACACTGGTAGGGGCCCTTAAACTGTTTTTATTTCTCACTTATTTGTATAAAACGTATATTTTTAACCTTGCAATAATGAAATTGGAGACAAAAGACTGCAAACGATCACTGTTAACAATTGTAACAGTAAAAAACAGATTACATTCAATGTGCTCTTCAGTTATTGACGAATCGTATTTCATTTTTAATTAGGATTCAATTTTGTATTAAGTAAAAATGCTGGAATAATACGACTGGGTATTTCCTGAGTGAATTGTTTCTCTTTGACAAACGTACGTCTTTATGAGAATTCATTGGAAAATATTGATTTCGTTTACATAACTGTACTCTGTACCTGTTAGACAATTTAAGAAATATGCTAACAACCAGGAGAATTTTTTCCAGGTAAGCCTCTCTTGGCTACGTTAAAAGGGAAAATTATGAAAATCGTCAACTAATTTGTACTCTGACCAGTTCCATTCCATTGTTTTTGTTAGTTTTAAGAAACGTGCTAATGGCCAGGAGAATGACAAGCCTTCCTGGCTATATTATATGTATAGAAACAAAGATTAGGAACATTTTCAATTAATTTTTCCTCTATCCAGTTCCTCTTTTAATTATTCATGTTAAGATAACATCTACCATTTACCTTTTAGTCGAGCTTTTATCAAGCCTATATGAGCCATAAGATCTCTGCTAAAAGTTGAAGACATGTAGTAGAAAAGTATGTCCTATATTTGAAGCAATGAGCTTTTAGAAAAAATAATAATTACAGAAGAGTAAGGTTTATAAAATTATTCGACCTGTTTTCCTCAGTCCTAAGAAATTTTTGACGCTATATTTCTAATAGTCTAATACAGAGGTGGGCAACCTTTTATCTTTTTAAATTAGGCAGTAATAAAGGAGGACGCTATCATTTTTTTATATTTCACTGTTGGTATTTTTATTTGTTTAAGCATATATATATACTATCTTTGAATTTTAATAAACAACTACGTATTTAAATACTACTTCAAATAAAAATAATTGTTAAGGCCACGTAGGAATACAGGACAAGAGTAAACTCTATTTAATATAATTGAACGTAATCAATGAGAATACAAAACATAAGTTAACGTCTATTCGCGATGCATGCCTGCAACGCACTAGTTACAAGGTCCAGAAAAATGAAAAACGCATAACTAGTCTCGGTAGCAACCGACAACGGGCCCTAACATATCAGAGAGCTTGCTGCACGCACACATGCGTAGTGCCGACTAACAACAATATCAGTAGAAGAATTTTTACATAAATTTATTATTCTATAAAGAAACACAATAGGAAAATAATAATATTAAATTATAAATAACTAACATAGCAATAATACGTAAAACAATTTTAAAATCTGATGGAAAATTTACATTTATAAAAAGTCATTCAAAACAATCGTTATTCATCTCAGGGGTAATATAATTTTGATTACAATATTTATATTAATTATAATTGGGTAGCTTGGGAGCTGCCTGAGAGGCACACTTGGAACGTTAAGGGCTAAATCATGATATAAAATTGTATATTTTAGCCATAGACCCTTCTCCAATCCATGATCCCTTAGTTATCCTTAACCTTATTCACAACCATCTTCACTCCCTTACTTTCCTCTTTCCCAAAGTTATCCTTATTCATCGAAAACAGAAGTAGTGCAGAATACATCTTTTCAATACAAAGATCGCATCAGGAATAGACAATAACCTTGTGGAATTTAAAATTACCAGTTATTCCACGACTTGCGTAACCCAACGACCCTAATCATCTTTGTAAATAACGAGTTATACACATATGGTATCAGATACATCTATATATCTTTGTATATATCTGCATATATGTATGTTGATGCATATAATACAATTGTCCATGAACTCTCAAATCTTAGTGCTTTAGGGTTTTTCCAATTAATCCTTGAATAATAAATTCAGTTGTCACCCACGCATTTTTTCTTTTACACGCTTTTCCCTATACCTCCATTTCCTTTAACTATAGTATTGGCTGTCTGTATTTCCACTCTCGGGTACCCCAATTTCGCTCGCCGGGACTGAGCGGAATTTTGGAGCGGAAAACGCAGTGGGAATAGGCCATGAAGATAGCTCGATAGTTGGGTAACCTATCAAGAGTGGGCCCTACAATGGGCTTATTTTAAAATAAGAATATGAAGTGAAAATTTCATTATTAAATGTATATTATCATTTCCACATTCATATATTTTAATATTATATTATAAAAAAGTATAAACAAAGTAAAATAAACAACTTTTTATTTACGACTGGGGCGATGATGGGGTGATAAAAGTATTATTCATTGGCTTTGATCATTATTATTTCGTTCTTTTCCACGGAAACCTATATTTTTCTTTACATCATCGCATTCCCCGTAAAAAAATCTATAACCATCTATTTTTTTATTGAAAACGTATATGATATGAAATCGCACGAGGCATTTATACAAAAGTTTCCATAAGCTCCCGTGTTAAAAATAAGAATTTTCTAATGCATATTTTTAAACAATTTTCACGGAAGCTATACTTTCCTTACGGAAAATTACCTATACTTAACCTTATACTTAACTTTAACTAATGTTTAGTTCAACTTGTATTAAAATCGTATATATTTTGCAAATGTTATCGAGCTACCTTGTAGCTAATCTGAAACCATGCAATTAGAGCTGCAATGATAACCTCAATTTACAATTGCGTAAGATATTTTTTTAATAGAAAATAAAAAAACCGAGGACAGATGAAATCCTATCGACGTCTACAAGTCAGGACTTACATGCTGATGAAGGTATCAGTCACGTTCGCTATTAATATGCAATTATTAATTGTAAATTTCCTAGTTAATTGCACGAGTAACGCAAAATGGAAATGAAGTTAACGACGCTTCCTAACAACCTGGAATCTCGGTTTAAATGGAAACGTGTATAGTCAGTATATAAAGAGGAATACATATTTTGTAAAATGATCCTGAGTACAATCGACTTTTGAGAACGACTAATACGACGCTTTCATAAAGTCAATGAATGCCGGTATACGTTGTCTGCAAAACAGATTCCTGGTAACGATTCGCACGGCTCTGCAGGAAACCGACACGTGTGTATCTGATTTTCTGCAGGAACGACAATATTGAACATAATCGTTGGCGTTTCACGTGAATCAAGCGTTGACGTATAAGCAAACGTTATGATTGCTATGCAAGGGGAACAGGTGACATCGTCATCGATTGGCGTCAACATAAAAACGACTGAAGGATAACTGACTGCTGATAGATTCTGACACCGAGCGAAAAAAAACTACTATGACAGTTTCACTGTGAACTACTTGAAAAGTAAATAATATGCAATTTAATATAAGTACTTAATTGGCTGTAATACACGTTAAAGCATATCTCCAGCGAAAGGTTATTTAGATAGCAATTTAATTCCTAGTTCAAGTATTCTCATATGTGCTTCTAAAGTCTTCTGCACATTCAAGACATGTAATGAAAAGCTGTGTGTAGTATTTGAAGCAATGAGCTTTTAGAAAATTACAGAAGAGTAAGGTTTATAAAATTGTTCGATCTGTTTTTCTCAGTCACAAGGAATTTTTAATGGATAATTTCTAATATTCTAATACATAGTTTGGGCATTTCTTAATTGAACTGTACGTGACTTGCAATTGTCTACATTGTCTACATTGTCCTATAATTCTTACTTCTGCATACTTTTTATTGTAGGTCTTAAACANTTTCGTAACAAAAAATGTGTAATAAAATATGACTCAAGTATAAACTCATTTCATCGTTTTAAATATTCTAGTATGCTTCTGATATTTTCTGCACATTTAGATCAAACCTGTTAATTTCTAATTCAGTCTTTATTAAATTCGTTCGTTAACAAAATATATTATTTGTAATAAAATATAATTTAGATAGGAATTCGTTTCATAGGTTTAAGTATCCTCATATGCATGAACCCTCTGATACTTCATGCACTTTTAAATCAAACATTCCTAATTAAATAATATGTTCATCTATTTCAGTTCTTACAATGCGAAGGACAACGTTGTTTATAAACACAACAATTTATTCCTGAATTCAATGGAAAATATTTGCATACTTGTTCTTTGCATAGACTGAAGAAAAACATCAGCGTTTAAGTATTATAATTCTCAAGTAGCTCCTGATGTATTCTGCACATTTAAGTCATTCATTCCTAATTGCGTTTTTATTAAATTTATTTTTTAATCGAATTGACATATAACATAATAAAGTATGATTTAAATACGAATTCGTTTTAAGTATTGTGATATGCCTGTGGCTTCTGATATTTTATGTACATTTCGATCAAATGTATGAATTTTTAATTAAATGATATGTTTATCTATTCCAGTTCTTAAAATACCAAGAAGTACATCGTTCATAATGAAGATCGTATTATAAATGCAGCACGATTCTTGTATATTCCTATTAATATTTAATTTGCAACATTTTTTTGCATAGAATGAAACCGACAGAAGAGGTACACTATGACACCATCAGCAATTAAAATTAATATCTAGCCGGCATAATTTTTAAAAAACAATCACTTTCTACGACGTAATTGTAAATTTCTGCCTTTTGACCCATATTATGGTCGTAGAGTGCATTGTTCTAAATTAAATGATATGTTTATCTATTCCAGTTCTTAAAATACCAAGAAGTACATCGTTCATAATGAAGATCGTATTATAAATGCAGCACGATTCTTGTATATTCCTATTAATATTTAATTTGCAACATTTTTTTGCATAGAATGAAACCGACAGAAGAGGTACACTATGACACCATCAGCAATTAAAATTAATATCTAGCCGGCATAATTTTTAAAAAACAATCACTTTCTACGACGTAATTGTAAATTTCTGCCTTTTGACCCATATTATGGTCGTAGAGTGCATTGTTCTGTCCCAAATGATAGAATAATTAATGAATACAATGTCGTCTCAGTATGAAGTATAGCTAAATAAAGATTGTGGAATTATTTCCATGACATTTCTAGATACATGCATTATGAAAGCATTTAGAACAACAACTTATTTCTAGCCTGCGCAATTCTTAAACAAGAATCGTGTTATCAATATTTTATTTCGTTATTCAGACAGCAGAAAACGGCGTAATCGTGAATGATTAATCTATGACGAATACTATATTAATATTATATCAGGTGTACGATAAAACTAATCTAACGGACGGTTGTATTCAGTTAGAAAATAGACATAACTTCGTTTTTCTATCCAACGGAGTTTCGATGACCCTACGTTGAGATCTCTATAATGGACTGCGGATGTTTACATATTTATAAGAGAGACGCAAATCAGCTGAAATTGCAGTATTGCATATATGAAAGAATACTGAGAATATCAGAAGCAACCTTGTGACATTTAATGAATAGAAGTAGATCATATGTAAATTTCACAGAAACATTATTTTTCATACGTTTCCGTCTACACCGTCTAATCATAAGTTTGTGTAATATGGAAGTTAGCTAGTCATATTCAAATCGACTTCACTACCGACTTACTTGAATTTCAAAATCAATTGTTCACTTCACGTAGTAGTTTATGAAAGAGGAAGTGCGTAATTACAGGCCACATTAATTAATAAACGATTCAATTGGTGCTTAGATTATAAATGAAAAATTTTCCATAACTATTTCAACGCCATTTCAGTTCATGAAGCTTCTTTATAAAACTGTTCCTCGCAGTGGTTTTAAGTCGCAGAGAATTTTCAACGTATCATTGCTAATATTTTTATTTATGGACTTAAGGAAATACGTCGAACAATTCCATAAACCGTACTTCTTTGGAAATATCATTTCTCCTAAAAACGCTTATCGCTTAAAAAAATAAACTTAGCTTTTTATCAAGTTTCTTAAACCTTTACCAGATATCTGACTCATACAATGTTAATAAATTCATATACAAAATTCATTTTGTAAATGCTTACTTAAAATGGAAACACTAATTGATTTATACAGTAATTACTTTATTTTTTATCTAATTAATAAATGAATAAATAAAATTTAGTTTATTTATTATTGTAGTAAAGCGTTAGTCTAGTACAATTTTTTATTATAAACTTTGCACTTTTGCTTAGTCAGCTATTTAGTTGAATGAAATGTAACCTACATGCCAATCATATTTGCAAGTCTAATTCCTACATAAATGCACTTACTCCACTACTTAATAGTACAGTCTTATACATTCTAGTTTAGAATTATTTTTCTACACAAAATGCTTTAAGTTTTAAGCTTGTTAGCTCCCAAATTTGTTTTCACATTCGTTGCATTAATTGTTATCAATATTTTTTAGATTTCCTCATAGATACGGTAGTTGCACACTATTTGTATGCTATTTTCAATTCCACGTGTATTGCATATTTTAGAATTAATTTAAGTAAATGCATTTAATAACTTCAAAGAAGAATCGATTCAAGAAATTTGTTTAACAAATTCATGGAAATAAGCCTTTAGTAGAGTTTATATTAAGTCGTTAGTCCTGTCCGTTGAAAGTGAAGTGAAAGAAAATAATACCTTTTTTCATAATATTTCTTGTACAATATAATTTACATTGTTACTCATGATGGATGATGACAATGTTTAAATATCATTTTTGAAAAATTACTTGTTTTTAGAGGCGGAGAACTCGAGTAGTGCTTCACTAACCTCTGCTTTAGTTTACGATTTACTATATTCTTTATTGATCACAGAGAAGGGTGGCCTGGCCTTGCCAATATCATCAAAGATACCATGCAATTTTTATTTATTCACATTCGCACTTATTTAGCATCTATTCCAATGTCGATCTTGAATTTTACTTTTCCTCCAAAAAATTTTGAAGAGAGACAAACAAGCGATAATCAGAGGATGCACTACTCGAGTTCATCGCTTCTAAAGTTAAGGCATTTAACACTAAACCTACCGACATTTTAGATATACTTTTTTCTACTAATGGCGGTCAAATAACCACTTTTCAAATAAACATATTCTTTTGCAGTTGATTATAGATAATACAGAATTTAGCACAGGCAATAAAATACAAAATAATTATCATGTAATAATTATACAATATAACAGATAATAATTTCAAAAGCGGTCATTTAACCGCTCTGTTAGGTCATAAATAATGGCAGAAATTATACAATAAATCAAATACAATTAAGTGTATGAAAAATGTATTATACTTCCTTTCACTTCACAAACTCACAGAACTTTCCACTAGACCTAATATTTAGATTTAGGAACGACGTTTATAAAACACTCGTAATGTTTATAAACTGAATGCATTTGTGGATGAACACTTATAAGCATCTACTGAATCGATACTCTTTATCAATGTGATGCCCGGTTTGATTCAACTCCTCGAAATTGAATGCACGATTTGGGGGATCCGTTAATAATTTAACTTGATCTACACGTGGTTCTCCACGCCTGATACTAAAATTTAGTACACAATGCCCAATTTGATTCAATTCCTCCAAGTTAAATGCAGGACTTAAGGAATCATTTAATAATTTACAATTAAAGATCGATGTTGAATGGAAGACAAATTATACAAATGAAGTATGCGTGTCAGATGTAAGATTGCGTAAGGACGAGAGGCTAAGTTAGGTTAGCTTAACGTTTCGAAAAACGAATTTGCATGCAAAGGAAAAGTATTAAAAGTTTAATGACCAGTCTGTAATGAGAATGGTCACTAATTATTGATTAGATTAGAGACAGCCTAGATACATAAAAAATATTCGCTTTACAACGTGACGTTTCTTAACACTAGAAAGACTGAAACTATATTGCCCAAAAGCAGTCAAAATGACTTCCTTGGGCAATCTAGTGTTAAGCTCTTAGCAGAAACCATACGGCGCATAGAACCTTAAATTTTATCTAGATTTTCTTTTAATCTCAATTGCCACGAAATGTACAAATTCCATTAAAAACTTATCTAAATATCCTCTTATCACCGAGCTAGCCAATACTACCATCTGTTTTAAGCTAAAGCTAAATTAGTTTCGATCCAACAGGTACTATGATGCATTATTAATATTCCTTGCGTGTTTAATCCTTCTACGAGCGCTGAAGACGCGCGGTCTGCTTATTAATAATTAATATATACAGCGAAAAAAGAAACGTGTGCAACATAGATTCATAATCTGATTGCAGATAGCCATGGCATCGAGCGTCAGAGAATAATCATCAATCGCGGAAAAACTTCCGACGTCGGGAATGACGAAAAGGAATATAATAAACCACGCGGGACGCGGTAAACTATTTGTTTGCGGGCGATGATCAATCAGATCCGTCGCGCGGGTCAACGGTCACAAAGTTTTTAACAGCCGTTTACCTTGAATACGTAAGGAGCGACGAATTCGAAATCCAACGCGCATGGTTATCCGCGCATGGCATGATGTCCCGGGCCATGTGTGTCCGCGTGTGCGTACATGCGCGGACCCACTACCACACGCGGCAACCTTTTCTCTATCATTTCTACCGACTCGCTCTTACGTCGTGAAAGACTGTTACTTAATGATAAACACCCGATCGCGTCGAACGAGACGATAAAGCGAAATGATACTATTTGTAAACGTTAAACGATCGATTCTATAGATTTTTACCGGATGGACAATAAATATGTATGAAGCGCCTATTAGTACGCGCGACCGATTTATTTTTAATGTTACACCGGAAGAAATGATTAAATGATAGTATTGAAAACGCCGTTTGTCATGCGCCTCTATTATACTCGTGTACACGTGTATATAACCACGTGTGTATGTATGCATGTAGATGCTTAATTTCCTCGATCACGCTACTCCTTGATACCACTGGCTCGAGCACGCAACTCGAATTTGCCAGCACGCTTTCCGTTGCACTGATTGAGAAATCTTTCGCTAACACCGGGCTCGCGAACCACGTGGCAATAATTAATATGCGCGGTGAGGACGTTCTAATTAAATTTCGATTTCGTAAGAGCTTCCTACTTACGCGATGGAATTCCGTCGATTTTATAACATAAAACTCGCCGCACTCATCTGTCTACGTGAATCCACCCACGCGAAATTTAACTAGGTTAAAATATCATTACTTTGTATTAATCTATATCACGTGTTTCTCGAGCACGTATGTAGATAAGAGTTTACAAAGGTCACACTATAATATTGTACAACTTCGATAAAAATGTAATCGTTCTTGATAAATTTTAGTCGTTTTTTAATGGAAAGCATATAACGTGTTTCGGTTTCTGCAAACTCAGTGTTTCCTTAGCTCAAATATCGGCCGGATATTTTTATTAAAATTGACTGTGATTAATTCAGTTTCCTTTGACACGGGCTTGTTAATTCTTTTCAGGTAGATAATACCAATAAAAAAACTGACCTTTTCATGAAAAGATAAAAAACTGGGCAAGTTTGAATGGTTTATGAAAATAATAATATCCATTCCTGTGAAGACCAGCTCGAGGAAGTCATGAAATCAATGACAATCATCTAGTTTTCGTTTTAGTTATATTGGTAATTTTAAATAAATCCAGATGAACTTATATAATTAAATTATATTATTAATTAAAAAACCGACTGACCTCCTTAATTCTATTGTTTTCTGTTATATAAACATACATATAACAGGAAACGATGGAATAATATATATAACAGAAAACAATGGAATTAAGGAGGGCATAGTCGGTTTATTCCAATTCATCGTTTCCTTAATTAAAATATCTGTTGAATATTTTTATCCAGTTTGTCTTCAGACAATTTCAATTTTATAGCTTTTGCCAGGTACAACAGGAAACGATGCAACATTAGAGGAGTCATACTATAATATTGTATAACTTTGATAAAAGTGTAATCCTTCATGACAAACCAGACTGTTTGTAATATGATTTCGTTTGGCTTTCGCGAACTCAGCTTTTCCTCGACTAAAAACACTCGTCGAATATTTTTTATTTAGATTAATTCTAATAAATTCATTCCGTTTTGTTAATTTTTGCCAGTTATAATCCATTCTATATTTCAACAGCCAGTCCCAGAAATGTTTTTAACAAACATAGAAGGTACAAATGTTCTGTACTTATTTTTCAGTCCCATCTTTGCATGTTACGTAGCATGAAGTAGGATAAAAATGATTCTTCTGTAATTAAGTTCCTAATTCCTTCTTTTAATAATAAAT